TTCTCTCCCCGGCTCTGGGGGGGGAGTGGGGGCTGGTGGTTAGAGCCGGGGGGCTGTTCTGTTCCTGGCTGTGCCAGGGGAGCACTGCCTAACCATCACTGCTGGGTTTGCTGGAACTGGGGTGTGCTCCCAGCTCCTCCCTCTGTGATGAGTTACTTTGCCTCTCCGTGCCTCAGTTTACCGTCCCCCAGGAGTTAGTCAGTGTCTGTTGGGTGCTCAGGAAGCTCAGAGCCTTCGCGCCCCGCTTGAGTCTGGCCCCCGCTGTTTGCGGGGGAGGGTGGCCGGGGCCAGCGTAGGGACCTTCCGCCAGGGGATTTGCTATCAGGTGCCGTGTCACTGGCCGACGGGGAGAGCCGGGGCTCCTGATCCCTGCAGGTGACTCACTTTCCCTCACCGGTTTCGCTTCCTTTCGGGGTTTTCGATCCTGTCCCAGCTTCCCTGTGGGAAATTCCGCCGGCAGGTGGGGGTGCTGCCGCTCAGCTGACAGCCCGGGGCCGTCCCCAAGGGGGGCGGGGACCGGGCGGGAAATACCTGGCCCCAGCCAGGTTCCTCTTCGGGAAGTGAAGCCAGTTCCCCTGGGGCAGGCCCAGCTCGGTCCCTGCCCGGACTTCCTTGTGTGGGGCCAGGGTCACAGGCCTGCTCTCAGTCCTGGCACCCCAGCCAGGGACACGGGGCCCGGCCTCTCTGGGGGCTCTGGCCCCAGGGCATAAGGGTCCCAGCCATTCCCCGGGGCTCAGCCCTAGAAACCCCGAGCGACCCCAGTGATCTGCCACGTGCCCTGGTGCACCCCCCTCCCCCAGCCTCTGCTTTGACCCTGGGGTCACCCCCGGGAGCCAAGGGGGGCAGAGCCAGCCCCGGGCACCCAAAACACGAGGCCAGAGATATGTGTGTGTGAGGAGGGCTGACCCATGAGGCGGGGGGAGATCACCCCCACATCCCCCAGCGTCTGGCTGGTGCTCACTCCAAGCTGACGGAGGCGGCAGAACTGATCCCCACCCCCCCTCCCCCGACCCAGAGTGTGCCCGCGGGCATGGGCGGTGAGAATCGCCCACCGGGGGGTCGCTAGCGCCGGCAAGCCCAGCTCGCTCCTTCCACAGGCAGCGCCCCAGGGGACCCCACCTCTCCCCGCTGCCAGCGCTGGGTCTGATCTAGTGGCGGTGAGTTCCACGGGTCAGCTGGGCATTCTCAGTCAGGCCCCTGGGACTCTCCTCACACAGGGGTCACCCCGGCTAGGGGGCAGAGCAGGGGCGTGGCCGGAGCACTTAGCACTGGGGTTATTCTCTG